TGCGAGAGACTCACCTGGAACCCAGCTGAATCTCTCGGTTTTGATCTTAACGGTTCTTTATTTCATTGACCTCTTTTTAATTAAATTTAACCAGGTTTGCTGTACGACACAAGGCACAGCTGTAGTCCGTATTGAAGTCCGGGCAAAAGATGCAGGCTAACCTGACCTTCACAGATTTCTCAGCGATTAGCATTATCTTGAAATGAGAGGTCCAAGAACAAGCAGGATAAAAGATACGCATGAGGGGTGGGATCGAGCCACTGAGTTCCCACTTGCACGACGAGTGGTCTACGGATTGTTCTACCGAGGATGTCTGCTCCCCGTTTGACACTTATGAATTTGAGCTTCATAGCTGAATCACCAAAATACATATTCATTAAAAAGCACCATATTCGATGATTCCCATCCCAGTTTGGATAGGTGATAGAGAAATTGGACAGTAGAACTAGAGAGGATACTCTGGTTCCAATATGAGTGCGGAGGAGAGACTGGGCGCTGTGAGTTGATGGTCCGCAGTGAGTTTGGAATTGAAACCACCCGATGTTCAGTCCACCAAGAACAGTGCGCTTTTAAGGAACACTGACGGAACTTGAGACGAAACCAAAGCAGTGGCGAAAACTGGTTAGTGTGATGTCAAAGCACCTGTGATTGGGTGAAACACCTGCCTTTGTGTGTGTGACGGTCTAGATTACGGAGACCGATGGTCACTTTACAGGATCACCATATCGGGTTAGTAGTTCTTACTTAGATTAGACACCTGGAGCATTCGCTCAAGACGGAGCGAGATATTTCATTGGAGACTAGAAAATGCTATTCGGCTACAGTTTTTTATTGGCTCGGTGCAGAAAGAGCGCGGGATAGTTTCGAATACAGCAAGATACCTGTGCAAACAGGTAAAAAGGAAGAAGAGCGCGAACATAACCCCCAAAGCTTAGTACGTTAAGACTAGGGGAAGATATCAGGTGAAACCTTTGATGTGTGACCAAATCGCCAGAACATCATCTACTGATTTAGTACGAACGAGCTGTAAAACTACTTGGAGGGAAGTCGTTAAACTGACCAACTGTGAACTATACTCATTGTTGTAAAAGCCCTTCCGGGTAACAGAGACAAGGTTGCATGCTACGAAATAGCCAATCGCAAAAGCATACGGTCCCGTCAAGGTAGGATGCGTACAACGAAGCAGACATTGTGATGGTGACAAAAGTTCAGACGGATCAATAAAATTCAACGTACTTTGTTTTTTACGCTGGCTAGCCACACGCCGATCACGCTGTTGTCGACATACGCAAAGTAGGATGAAAATGAAGACAAAGAAGAACATGAGGGCTGCAATACCACCCAGAATGAGATACATGAGGCGGTTGCTGACCAGGGCCTTCAAAAGGCTGTAGGTCCCTGAATGTTCAGCGGTCTGGAAGAAGGAAACAAGGGTGCATGGAGGATAAGGCAGTTGTGGACGGTGACCGAAGACAGTTTGCAAAATCAGTCTTGCGAAAACTGAAAACACCGTACCTGGGAACAGAAATGAATAGGCTGTGTGAAAGTACGATCTAAATTGATTGACAAGCTTGTGTATGACCATGAAGCCACTGCTCGCTGCGGTCGGGAGCCTCTCAAACTAACGTGTACGTTGACACTCTCAAAGCGTCCTACGAAAAAAGTGTGAAAACATAAGATGAAATAGGATTATTCCACTGTTTGGTAATTGTGTAGCCTGTTGAAGTGCCCTAAATATAACGAAATTTCATGAAACCAGTGTGCAGCGTTGTTTTGAGATATTTTCGCACTGCTTTCGACTGGACTCCGAGAAGGGAAGCATCTCGACAAATGCACACGAGTAATCATGATACCTGTCGACCACTAATAACCATATCAAACACCGCTTTGACACCTCAATCTGTTTGCACGACTTGTTCAGTTTGAATGGGCACCGCGAGTTTTCACGAGAAGCATCTCGACAACTGCACATGAGTAATCATGATACTTGTCGACCACTAATGACTATATCGAACACCGCTTTGACAATCCGTTTGCACGACTTGTCCAGTTTGAATGGGCACCGCAAATTTTCACGTCCAACACCGACTAATCACCGGTCCGTTTGCTTCCAAGGCGGTGGCAACCATCCAAGCCGATTCGGCGGACGCGCGGTCCGCCACCTGACCAATCCCATTTACACCCTCTGTCTTATCAAATGAACCTATAAGGGATGGCTTAAGTGGTTAGAGCGCCAATTTACTGACCGAAAGGTTCATGATTCGAACCCGACCTCAAACTCTCGACTTCCCCTATCTAGGCTTGGGCAACCTGGCAGTGTCCCAGCTCTCGTGCTTCCTTCGGGTAGCATGGCAGCTTGGCACAGCTGAACGATAGAGGATTGGTCAAATAACCTTTGCCTGGGAACTACAAGCTGCCGAGTTCCGGATGAGGAGTCTGCTGACCGGTGAATTCGACTTTGACAAAAAGCACGCCTTGCAAATCACATCAGTAGTTTCGCACATTTTAAGACCCTAATTACGACGGAAAGACTCTACGGATGTGCTCGTTTAAGCACTCACAACTGGCGGCTTATGACCAGCCATTAAAATGTTTTTCCCCATTTACAATCAAAGACATATTTTTGTGTTCACCAGGAGAAAATATTGTTCGACTGTGTGGCCTGGTTAGACAATGGGGCAGTAAAAATGTTCCATCCATCAAGTCAACATTGGCGACGCCGCTCGGGGTCTGATTCATCACGTTCCTGATCATTAGTCAGGATGTCATCACCTATCCCCCGGATTTTGTCCAGCACAGATATTTATCAGGAAAACGGATATTTTCCGGTCTGCCCACACAGGCGCACATATGGCAAGTGAATCACTCAGCCGGACACAAACCAAAGATGCCAGTTCTCTGTAGTAGCGGTAGAAGTTTACCATAGATAATTTTGTAAAAAGTGGACAATAAACAAGAAAAATGGATCATTTTCCTCGTGTTGATGGGAGCACGGTCTGACAGTTTTCGCTGACAATGGACATGGGCACGGTTGAAATGAACTACATCATATAAGAGGGAGTATGAATGAAATTTAACAGCCAACTGCCGGATTTAGGGGTGGTTTTAGCCGAACTGTCTGTTTCCGGATGGACAACCGAAGTGGAGCACAGCTGAAAGATGTGGACTGCGGGTTTCCCAGACAGACAGAGCTATCAAAACAGTGAGTATGACTGTTGTTGCACCAAGTTGAGCACATTGGGTTTGAGCACAGTAGCCCCACATATCAAAAGTTCATATCGCTGACTAAAACGCTTCAAAAATGTAATGAAGACAGTGTTAAGTTTGGCCAAGACTGTCAAACATGATGGTGCTGTGATCCAAGGCTACTTTTGTTTGTTGTGTCAGAAGGCAGGCTGCAGTAATGTCAGGTCATCTAAAACCCGTAACAGAGTGACCATGAAATTCGGATGAAAGGGAAGACAAAAGAGGAAGATGGTAGACGAAGTGGAGTTGCGATGGTAGCATATCCAGACTTCAACAGAACTGATCAATATCATTCAGCTGTAACTCCCTTTTCGTGCCTAGCTGCCATTCGAAGGAAGCATGAGGGCTGAGATGTTGCCAGGTTGCCCAAGCCTAGACAGGGGAAGTCGAGAGGCAGAGGTCGGGTTCGAACCACGGACCTTCTGGTCAGTAAATTCGTGCTCTAACCACCAAGGCATCTCGTTCATCCGAACCGAACTGATCGTAGAGTTCCTAGTTGAAACAAGCCTATCTTAAAGCATATGAAATATATTATTTGAGTTAATGAGAGTAGTTTAACTGAACTCGTGGTAACATCGTGAACTTTGAAACCTGGACGTAATTGAGACGGCAAACGACAATCGGAATAGAAAGGGCACTAAAGTCAGATCCATCCTGCATGATTAGCCAAAAATTTATATGACAATCAACCAGTGGAAAATAAATGGATGGGCCTGGACACTCATGTATTCATGGCTTGCGCTCCCATCTGGCTGTGATTTGCGTGACCGTTTCGTTGAAAGTATCTTACTAACTCATCACGCAAGACAGTGTGATCTGTTTCAACTGCTGTGGTCCTCGGTGAATAGTACGGATCAAACTGTACTTCAGTCATAACTCAGTTGTTCTCACTCAACGAGTACACTTTTTTTGCCAGCGCGTCAGACTGGAAAGCGAAGGAGAGTTACCAGCTGCTATATTGCTTGGCCTTCCGGGAAGATAGCAGACAGACCTGGATATACACACTATATACACACTACACCGCAGCACCTGTAACCATGCGACCAGCTGTTGAAATGTTCGGTACAACAGGTAAACAGCTGTTAACGGCTGGCGCGGCGCAAATTACCCGAACTAACAAGCTATCGAGATAGGAGTGTTCCGTATTTGAAATTGAACAATTAGAGCAGAAAAGCAATGAGCAGAAGGGTCCAACTGAACATGTAGCACTAAAGACGGCTTAGAAATACCAAATGCGATCATTAAAACACATTGTCTAAGCTCAAGAATGGAGCTAAACAGGGATTGGCCGTAGAACCATGAAATAGAGCTGTCACAATCAATAACGCTGGTGAAAATGTCCCGGTTTCTTGCTGTCAGACACAAATAGCTAGCAAGTTCGACAGCACGACGAAAGAGATCACGCTGATTTCCGCGAACTACACAAACACTACCATTTATTTTTAACTGGATCCTCGTTGAATCGCTTGTTGATGATAGGATTCAATTAAATGTGTTGCACAAAGGCCACCTCATGTTTCAGTTGGTACGATATTTGAGATATCATGGTATACAAGGCGTACAACAAGGCCTGTAGTCTAAAAGTACACGTTTCCTGCTGCGGCAGGACAGCGGTGACGGTCAGATGGTTGCCAGCCCCCTACAAGAAGTATCATCTCATCTCAACATACAAGACAGCGACTGTCGATCTACGAGTACTTCCTCGCGAGTAACATACACGTTTTGAAGTTCAGTCATCGGGTTCCTATAAAACTCAGCAACACCATGAATTCTCTGACTCAGGATTGCGAGACAGGAAGACTAGAAATTTTGAGGTTATTCAGGGAGTGTCCACCCAGTATCAGGACTAAAGCTGTCAATGCAAGGATTCGTAGTGGAGCCGTAATGTCTCTTGCCTGTAGTTTGGTCGAAAAAACTCCATAGCTCATTTATTTCCGGCACGAATCGATACAAGATCGCTTCACAAACGAGAGTTGCCAGAAATGCCGTCGCAATGATGGACCTAATAAATCTTCACTTAGCCAGATTTTCACCCTCCCGCCATGTGCGTGTCTGCTAAGAGAGAAATGCACTACACACACACACAGAGTTCAGCATTGACGTCGCAGTTCGAAGGACGAATTCTTCTCTGTAGAGATATGTATGGATGATTGAACATGAGAGTAGGCAGGATTTTCTTCGAACGCTGCCAGTACTAAAATTGTGACGGTAAAAAAATTGCGTCTGTCACAGTCTCAACCCTTGGGGTCACAGTTGGTAGACGAGGTATAACTGTCGACATGTGATCTGCATCTGTACTCCGTCACGAAGAGACTGGACCTTACCGTGGTGTGACGGTTTGCGCACCTCAGCGATCCATTGAGCTATACTGGAGAGTGTCCCGCGACACTCACAGAGTCTCTCACACCAGGTTGGTCAATGGTTAGAGGTCTGACGAACACAGTCTCCTGGCCCTCCAGGTTGGGGGTTGGAACATGTGGCGACTTGTTCCGTAGAAATGGTAATGCATTTGCATTTCCCGCCAAACACCGCTGCCTTGCGGTTAGGCTTTTGAGCCAAAGGCTTTGGTTGAGGACCCTAACCGTCCTCCTGTCTAGGTGTGGGCGCCCTGGCAGTATCCCAACCCTCTTACAACCATGAGATCTGTACCACTGCGAGTTACTGAACTATAAACTCGGGAATCAGCAAGATCCATCGAATAACTCAGCACATGGCTTGCTTCACGAGTATGTTCCCTTGTGGAGGTGCAGCAATCTACGCAAAACTTCGCATACGTTTGTGAGAGTGGTTTGAAATAGGCGATCGCTCGTTGCATTACTGGGTTTCTGAACATCCAGGTACTCGCATTATGATGGCTGACTTGTAAGTTCTCCCACTCCAGTTACCGAACGTTGTCACGTGGGAGGGGCGCACAACTGCTTCGCACAGTACGTGTGTGTGTATGAAGTCAACAACAAAAAGGAAGAGCGCGCAACACTCCGCCACAGCAGCCCATCAAGTCAATATTAGAAAATGCCAGCGCACGCGTCCAAACAACCGTCAGTCGTCACACCGACAGGATACTACCCGCTCGTTTTACATCGATTGCTGTGATACTACTACCCGCTCGTTTTACATCGATTGCTTGGGGCAGCTGGGTGCGAATAGTGTGGTCGCAGGAAAGCGCTGCCCAGTTATGGAAAAACCGCACGCGCATATGCCTGTCGGGTTGTCCACATGACAGGGTGAGTCACAGACAGTTGGCGAGGCGTGTGATATCGACCGCAAGCAAGCGCAACCGACGTCAACCGACAGTGAGTGACGGTTAACCGCACCCAAACGGAGCAAGGATGTCTGGCGAGAGCCGCGAATTAACAGCGGTGTTGGTACCAACACAGAGGAACAGCGAACTTGCACTATGTGATTATGGAGAGGGGAAGCGAGACACGGAGAGAAAAAAAGGGCAAAGAGTAGATAATGAGAAGGCTAGTAACGACAAACCAGTTGGACAAGCGAGCAACCAGGATTTCCGGCAACATGACCGATCAACCACGAAACAACTCTGGGACAAAAGTACTTTCTTCATGAAGAGCAATTTGACCAAGGGGCTAGACAATCTCGCAAGGATTGGTCTAAAGCGATTCGCCGCTTTAATCCGTGCACTGCGATGTCTGCGTTTCATTCGAAAATTAAACCGAAAAGCAACACACGTCAGTCCAAAAAAGTTCGATTAAGACAAACTTTAAACATCAGTTCGGTATTATTTTGTACGGTTTGTCTGTATCTTATGGTTGGATAGTAAAACAAAACATAAAGCGTTCAGCTGTAACACCCTTTTGGTGTCTAGCTGCCATGCTATCCGAAAGAAGCACGAGGCCTGGGATACTGCCAGGTTTCCCAAGCCTAGATGGAGGAAGTTGAGAACACTGAGTCCAGCTTGCTAGAACTTTAGTGATCTAAGCGCGTACACGATTTCTGTACCTGGCTTTCTTGACTTGTGTAAAACGCTGCTCACAAAGCAAGCCTTCCCGATATCCTCACTCTCTCGTCCTCTCGTCTCACACACATCATGTTTACTCAGAATCGGATGATGAATCACGAGTAATGTGTCGAAATATTAGTAGCTCCGGTGAGTCTATTGATTATTGATGAGGTTGTTGATAATCTGTCCGCCGAGCTTGGCGATTGACTTGCAAACGGACGAAGTGACATCGTCAGTGCACAGCTGGATGGGTAATTTTTACTATGAGAGACGCACTCTATATTTGATCATCAGATCGCTCATCCGCCTGAGGATGTTCATCGTACACCCAACTGACTTGACAGATTACCGGTTCAGTTAACTTCGGTTTTTCTGAGAAAGTCTATTGGCCAATGCATATGCCCTGTTAAGGAAACCATCAACTCATGTGGACTCGCTTTGCAGACCAGATAATGGGTAGTCGAAGCTTGACTTCTGAATTTGAGTATAGATCACGTGATGGGGTTTACTGGTAATATTGAATGCAGTGAACTTGGACAGAACAACTACCAGAGTAGTGAAATAAAGTATCCAAGCCCTGGTGGCGAACGTGACAACGGCAAGAAGATCAGTGAACTGACTTTAACGGTGGTACGCGCTCAAGGAACACCTGGTGGGATCCTAGTCAAACGGATGTCCAGTTTGTCTTTCACCAGCTGACCCATTATCTTATCAGGGTTGCCATAATTTCAGAGCCTCATCAGTTCTGTTTTAGAACCCCAGCTTTTCGAATTAGGGCATTCCCGTCGGGGTTACTGGTTTTTGACCTTGAGCAATTATGAAGGGATAGGCGTCCGCAACAAAAAGCGCTTAAACTGAGGCCACTACTCACTATTGACTGGGCTGAATTGAAGCTGAACATCCTAGAGGAGATAGATTCAGCGGAAAGTTGCGAATAACTTCATGGAAGCAGCCTTGATTCAGAATGTGCCACAGAGAGATCCTCTATTGATATAAATCGTGTTTGAGCAGGAATGTGAGGATGAGCGATAAAATGCTTTGGCTAGAAGGCATTTGCCAATTCTTTTTGTCTGCCATGCCGCCAGAAGGAAGCACGAGGGCTGCGATAATGCCAAGTTGCCCAAGCCTAGACAGGGGAAGTCGAGATACAGAGGACGGGTTCGAACCACGGACCTTCCGGTCAATATACACAGTAACAGGAACGGTATTGTGAGATCAGATATAAACCATCCAGCGAAACTCCAATGTGTGTGTGGTAGTTTAAGAACAGTGAACGGTATCCCGATAGATCAAAAACCGAGATCACTCAACTAAATGCGTACGCTTGCTGCTGTGCCTCACACAGATTTCAGAACCGTCCTTACTCAGTCTACCAGTAAGGTGTCCACGCACTCCAACAGACGAGTGAGCTGAGTTATCACTTCAAAATCTGAGATGGGCACTGGAAAAAGTAAACGCCCCGGCAACAACATTCCGACTGTTTGTTTGATCTGTTCACGCAGCTACACACGCGCACAGGAGACGCCTGTCTGAGAATTAACGCAGAAACCGAGCGATCGAGAGTGAATCACGGCCAATAAATAACTCACCGCCAAATTTACGTAAGCAGCTTTTGAGAAGCGAGTGATTTGACGTTTGTCCCCGGTCCCTCGCACGCCATACACGATGATTTGATAGCTGGATGTTCGATTCAGTCCGGTCAAGATACCCTCCTAAAAGGGGAAGCAAAAAACAAGTCGTGAGGGTGGGGATGACAAACATATTTCACGAAGTCAACTACAGAGTGGGTTGCAATACGCGGTCAGTCCACTATGACGTTACTGCATCTTGTGAAAGTGTCAAGAGAATCAGCGGACTTTTGGGTCGCGAGTATCACGAAAACAGGGCGATCGATTTACAGTTAAAACCAACCAAGAACGAAACTGAGACAGAGTGTTCGAAATACTTCACAGTGCAAAGTACTCCTCCCAATAGCGCGTGAACAGCTGTGACGAGAGGTAGTTCATCTCAAAATCTGGCATAAAATAAACACAGTAGCTGGCTTCAACAGTCGTTATCCTCACCGCTTTCTTCCATCAAAGAAAGAGTTAGTTTGTGTTAATACGCCCTTAGGATTTGAATGTGGGCATTTTTGCCCACCTACGGTGTAAAAAGAGCCTTCCCATGGCGGTAGGCTTGTCCACTGAGTCGGACAGTTTGGTCACAAGTTTCTCATCACCCAGGCGACAAACAGTAGGTTAAGTTACAAAATTGAAGTAACCAGATGAGAAAACAAGCCGTTTCGATCGATACACACCAGAATTCCTCTGAATAGTTTTCATATATCCCTGATGACTCAGAGACACCAGAGGCTTTCTGGTTCGTCCCAACGGGTTACCGATGGAGATGAGGACAAACTGTTATTCAATTTCCATACAGCGGTTCAGCTCAACTATCCGCTTTTATCTTCGTAAAGATGGGTACATCAGTAGGACCATATTGTAACTGAATGATTTACTTCGGCAAATATGTTTGAAGTGAACTGAAAGTAGCCAGTAGAACGAAGATATTTACCAGTCAAAGATTCCAACAACTTTGCAAGCAAAAAGTTGCGGTCTGAATGTAAAAGGAGCCTTTTAAAAGTGTGTAGAGTGGAAATCTTTCCACACAGAGTATTTTCGAGAAACACACTCACCTGAAAATGACCCTAGGGATAATCAGACTCAAAGGAATATTTTGTTATGACAGGTTTCAAGTAAATGAACGCTTTATCTCTCAGTTGGCAAGGTATTCGAGATATATATTCTCCTGTCACAACACACCACCGACCAACTAGGGAAACTCGTCGTCTTTCCCTTGTCCTGGTGTGTCCGTGACGCTACCTGGCTGGGAATTTCTGAACCGGCGGGTCAATCAATTGACACCAACAGGGTGGTTAGTAGGTTGTCATTCGAGTCATTCGGGTAAACCAATCACCGTTCATGCGTGAACACGTCCGCCTGTTCAGACCGATAATTCAGGTGCACCCATTTTGTTTATGGAGCTGTGGTAACATGCTGGCTTTCCACGTCTGACTTTCGAATCCCCGCGTTCAAATAAAAGCAAAACTCTTCTCTTTGCTTTGGGCTAACCGGAGAACTATCCGTACAAGAGTGACGTGAAAGCAAATTCTACAAACCAACGACTGCTTACTACTAAAACTGTGTCCTCAAAAGGCGTCCTGGCAACAGAGACTAGGAATCTGACGATTGCCAGCCTGTTCGTCGAGATCGGCTGTCTTCAGCTGCATAGGCAAGCACCGATAGAAGGAGACATACGCCCGATTCTGACCCTGAACTCGAATCACTAACGGAAACCATGATATGAATTAGCTCGACTGTTAAGCCAAGCTACTCAGCCGGCAACCAGCTTGTATCTCCCCTGCTTTGAATGGCCAAGCAGTGCGCGCTAGTGAAGGGCGTGGGACATACTTGTAGACTCTGTCCCAGGGGTGAGTTGGCAACCAAGTCAGTTTGACAACCTATCTAGTCAAGTTAGTGCAGAATCGCTTCAGTGAGTGAGTCCTGACAACCGGAAAGCCGTTTTCCGCTCAGTACAGATGGTAGCCCCATACACAAAAGAGTGCAAAAGCACCGGATAAAAAGTGTATGTATCGGTAAGCTTTAGCGTTTGGAGCACATTCGAGCGGAAGGTGTTGTCATGGCCACGGAATGTGACAATGCAACTGTCGCGTGCAGTAGTATTTTGGGTATTCCAACAGAAACCAGTGTTGGGAATCAAAGTCACACTATATAAACGAGGGGAAGGACGTATAACGGAATTCCCGATAAGTTTCATTCGCGAACAGCGAGCAAAGTAGTGGTAATGTTTGCGTGTACTTACCCTCACGTCAGAACCATTCACTTGCGTTGCCCAGTAAGCTCCATATTTGAACGAGTCGCCGGAATTCCCGCTACTCTTCGGCTTGACCAGAGGTCGAGCCAGAACCAAGAAGAAATCCGGCACAAATACTGTGGGATCAGCATCCAAGGAGAACAGAGATGTGGGCGACTGCGGATTTGATGCAGGAGTGGCGCCACGTGTCAGCTCAGTCGTGGAAGATTTTTCCGAGGCTTTTTTACTTTGTCCTTGACCGTCAAAAGACCACAGTAACTGCACGCGACCGTTGGACTACAAGCATGAATGGGGGAAGAGAGAGGCATGGACCAAGCTCAAAATGATGCAATGACGACGAAAAGAGTCTTTACACTTCCAGGAGTTGTAAATCCGAGTCGTTAAAACAACATCGTTTTCGTGAATCCCCAATATAAAGCAGAACGAATATGTATGCCGTGTTAAGCTTTGGTATTGTATTACAAAATGGGGGTGGTTGTTGGTTCTCGCAAGATTGTTGAAGCGTAGCTGATGAGCAAAACTTATCTCAGAGAAGAACGTTTCTGACCGGTGCCCTGACGAATCATTTCCAGAGTACAAAAACTGTACAGACAGGTCACACAACGTTGGATCTTTGTAGTCCATCAAATGGAAGATGTTTCAAGGACATCTAGTCACCGGACTGCCTGAAGACAGTCTATATGTCGGTTGAGTACTGGTAAGAATTGCCAGGTTTGGATGGTGAAAAACCTTGTCTGTTATTGTCTGTCTGATACAAGTCTTTGGGATTGCTGGTTTCACTGCTTGCTGGTATCCTGTGATATCTAGTCAGTAAACCTTAGTGACAGGATGCTTGAATCTACAGCGATGAACAGAAAGTAGTGAGGGGATTGCCGCATCCACTTATTTTTTTTCCACTGGATACGCCCAAATGAACTCGGTAGACCCCAAACAGTTAGCAAGTCTCCACTCTATAGCACCGATCCCCTAATTCAGAGTCCCAAGAACAAATGAGAGTTTCATTGTTGGCGGTATTGCCTGTCACAAATGTCATCCGATTTGTTGATTGAGACAGCTGCAGACGGTACGGTACGGTCATAAAATACAACTGTGTTGGTGAACAATCAGGCGAACCATACTGAAGAATGGTTTTTCTGTGACACTTCCTGTTAGGTTCATTTTTGCTTATTGGAGAGTAGATTACGCTAAAGGGAAAGGGTTGCTGAAATCGTTTCCTTACTAAAAGAACCGATGGTTTGGACGTCCGCTGCGAATCCATGCTGTACACAGATTTTTCCGTTTTCCCTATAGGGGTACGGTGCGTCGCTGTAAACCTCTGTTCGTCCCTCTCAAGTAAACCTCCTTTTCCTATTGTTGCCGTACCCCATGTCCGCATAAATATCAGTTTTTTGTTGGATACCACATGAAGATCGAGCGTCATCAATGAGCCGGGCTGTCCAATTCAGGGTTGTTTATTGCTTGTGTGTGGGCACTGCGTTTCTAACGCTCCAGAAAGTCACGAAAAAAGCCCGTCACGCTGTCCCATTACTAAGCAGTACGTTTTCAATTATCCTTGAACGTGTGTGCACCAAAGTCTTGGGGGTCTGAGACGGGGTTTGGATTTCTCGTCCTTTACGGATTTCACCAAGCTGGCCTTGTAGCAACAGCATCTTTTCGGCCTATCGTATTGAGGTGAAAATGACGCCTATTCGATCTTGTTGATGGCGCAATTATAACCATTTTTCTAAAAATGTTGACTGGATAAAACTGTTCACTGAAAAGTAGTTCAACCATAGATCGATATCCTCCACCGGGGTTGGATGTTAACCACGGCTAATGTTAGTCGCTTCAAAAGATGTAACATAAACAAGACTGTGTGTTTATCTTTGATGAGTGTTTGTAGGGCAGTATTTGGAGTTTCACTGAAGTTACGGGTAGAATATCAAGAGCGGGTGCCACGAAGGGAAACGTCCACCGACACTCAGGTAATGTCAGATGGCCCCTGTCGGGTCCGAATATAATAGACAGCCTCACTTAATCTTATCGGCCCCCACTGGTATTGACCAGTCAAATGTAGGTAATCTCCTTCAGTATGCGGTGGTTCTCCCTTCATCGTAAACTTGGCAAAAAGCGGACTTCCGGTTAAAGAGTCTGCCTGAATTCACGAATCATGATGGATGGATCGGACACGCAGAAGTTCCACCTGTGCTCGGTGACTAAATCTTCAAACGGGAACCGGATGAGTGAATGGTATTTCGTATTAGTATAGTGGTGCACTTTTGTCCGTACAGAGCGCAATCATTTATTGAAAATCCATGCAATAGTCGTTCAGCTGTAACACCCTTTCGGTGCCCAGCTGCCATGCCACCTGAAGGAAGCACGAGGGCTGAGATACTGCCATGTTGCCCAAGCCTAGACAGGAGAAGTCGAGATAATGAGGACGGGTCCGAACCACAGACCTTCCGGTCAGCAAATTCGCGCTCTAGCCACTTGAGCCATCTTGCCCCCGAAAATCCATGCAAAAGCTCAGAATATGGAAAGAGATATCTCCACTTTCATCAGCTGATGCGAACATAGGAGCGCAAGAAGAAAAGAAACCAATGAATGCGTTCAAAGAAATCAAACGATCTCACATTGGGGTCAAAGTTTGTAACATGCATACGAATGGGTCGCGTGACCCATACGCCTGCTAGATGAAGGTCTTTCGGTCATCTCGCTGAAATGGAAAAGGGCTCAATACCCAAAACTTAGTTTGTTTTTCTGTTCGGAGCAATACCGTGTGCGAGAAGCTAGAAAAACTATCAGTTTCCCCACGATTCTCTCAGCTAACGTTCAGTGTGGAACAGTCAAAACAACTATTCAGCAGTTACCAATCCCAGTAGCAGTTCAACAAATTTATGCTCAGTTTTGATTTGCTATTCATGGACAACCAAAACGATCGTATGGCATGTTGATAAAGCGCAGGAGGCGATTGGTCCGAACAGGAATCGCTCCTGAACTACACCCAATAAAAGCAATGCTCATGAATTCTATCGGTGGTGTTCCATTGGTTCTGACCAGCATTAATATTCACCGAGGAGTTGTGACTGTGATGTGGGCCACTTAACCATTCAGTTGAGCGAACTGACGGATAGCGAGTAAAAAATGCAGTCGTTCGTGGGGGATCTCCAGGATGGTCGGATTAAGCACTGGAATTTGCTTGATCAAACTGATTGGTGAACTATTGCTTCGGTCATCTGTGGGTAGGATCACTAGTTTGCCGCGAACCCTGTACGGCGACGCCGAAGATGTTGAGTTACGTGAGTAAGTAGGAGACAAGCATCCCGAAAAAGATACAGACCTCTCACTGTGAATTTGAAGGACAGGAGGTCCTCCGAGTTTGAAACACACAAAAATAGGGGAAGTTCCCAGGGTTACCAGAATGAACATGAAGCGCGGTCACGCGAGCGGGTTACATTTTATGGAGTGGAGAAATGGAAGAACTCGATGTTTAATCACGTGAAAAATAATTGGAATCGACTGAGTAGTCATCGTTCTCGACGAAGCGAAATGTTGCCCAGCAATAAATCTACCGATTGTCAGCAAAATTTTTCGAACTCGATGTTTAATTATGATCAATTATGTGAAATCTGGAGAGCCAGAAGACTGGTTGGTCGTTGGCTTGTTCGCTGAGCTGGGCAATTTGGGTGCAAACGTTTCATCACCAATCGAGGTGACATCATCAGTGCGTGGCGGTGGGTTAGTGGTTGTGCTATGCATGCAAAACTACGCACCGATGATGTCACCTCGATTGGTGATGAAACGTTTGCACCCAAATTGCCCAGCTCAGTGAACAAGCCAACGACCATCTACGCCAGCTGAGCTACCGACATTTCCCCCTATAGATGACTGGTTTTACAAGTGACACGCCGCAGGTAAAAGAAGAGGAAATTCACAGTAGCTGAGGTCATATTGGCCTATTCTTTATGGATTTGGATCCCGTTTATGTATGACGAAAGTAATTCATAAACCAGAATACTCAACGAATAAATACTCCTTGGGTGTTTCTATCCAGACTCAAGTTGTCCAACTGTAAAGAGTATTGTATTGTATCCTCCCTCGGATAGAGAAGACTGTCTTGTGCAGGAGTGGAAGAATTTCTACTCGAGAACGATCTAAGAGCACCAAAGTACAGAGGCACTAGTGAAGAAAGCCGAAAAGTCGGATACGTGCTGATATTTCTGCTTGGCTCGGATCGGCCTTAACTATTCCACACTCCCTTGGAATACGGCGTGACGTTTGAGAAGTTCTGTGAAATTCGTACAGTGACCGACATTCCGCAGTTAGCTTCGAGTGAATGAGAAGTACAGCGCAATATTTATTCGACTCCTCATACAACTAATCAGTTTCTTTTATGGAACACAGTAATCCCCCAAGAAAGAGCTCCAGGAGAAGAGAGGTCACACTCAAGCAGAATCCATGGTAAGCGATCCTCACCAGATTTCCCCAAGATTTTGTCTCTTCAGCATCACCCCCAAACACCTACACGGGGCCGACGATTTTCCTACCTTCACTCCTGGAAGGTTATGAATCCCGAGGTCATTTCGAAAATACCGCGAAAAGATATGCTTCAAGAACCTGACGGTATTTTGAATGGCGTAAGTTTGTGGAGGGGGAGGGGTTACAGCCAATATATGAGCGGAATCTGAACTCCACAGAGCTTAGTTACATCAGCTGAGCAAATCTAGATTCAGGATCTAGTAGGTGCTGAACGGACTGTCATATTGCAATCGGAAACAAACATTATTACTTCGGTCCCTCGTTTCGAATATTGGTATTCATGTTGGAGTTGAATATCACAGACCATTTATGCAGTAATTACTGGTTTTAATGAACTTTACTTACGCTACTGGAGGTAAAGCATCCCGGACAACAGTAGACCAGCTCCACACCGTTTTACTATCACGCAACGATGTGGGAAAAGTACCCTGGTAAGGAGTGCAAACTAAGGAGGTACTCGTTTAAGACCACCAAGAATAGGATGTCAGTGTTAGTAAACAAATAAAAACACTATGTTAGTGGCGGATGCCATCACCGGCAACAGCCTAGCATCCTTTAGGGACCTTACTCAGCAAAAGCCCAACGTACAACCACAGGCAAGCGCGCAATGTCCTGCAGGGGGTCCAACCATGTGCCGGAAGAGTCAGGTAAGACTAACCAGAAGGGTACACAAGTCCCACAGAAATCTGATTGATGGTCCTGTCACATCCTGTTCCCAGAAGCGGTGTCCAACAGGTACAACAACGTCGCTGGTTTTACGGCACCAGCATGCCGGTTAATGCCTTCAGTCACTGGTGTAACGAGTCCATGATAGTCCACCCTTGTAAATGCACCCATTGTTATGTTTTTTGTGCTCCATCTCCAGTTTAGGCATTAGCCAACTCCTGGTATCTTCCAGTCTGAAGTTGCATCGGCAAGCAATAACCTGGCATAAGAAGTACCTGAAAAACATGCGTAGCCCAATCATCTCATCGCTCAAACAAACAGCCTTTAGGTTGCAAAAAACATCCGTGGCACTTCAGCTTTGCTGATCCAGCGTTCTCATGATGCACGTGCAATACTTCGAAGATACCGGAGGTCAAACACAGGCAACCTTATTGCGTCTCTAGCGCACCGTGACCGGGTTACATGGGCCTAAGTCAGGATTGGACGAGCCGCCAAGAGGGCGGTGTCAGGTCGCTGAAGGAAAAGTAAATATGCCCACTAATGTCAGTATCTCTGATACCATCACCAACTTTGGTAGTACACCACTCCCAGCCTTCCAACAGCACTTGGCATTTTGTACATGCTTACAGCAGTTTATATCCGGATTTGATCGGAAACAACTAGCGCGACACCGAGTGAACACCCCCCGGAGGAAGTAGATGACCTAACGAAAGTTTCTCTGATTACTACGTCGATTACAAAGTTGAGAGGAAAAAGTAACGACGTGCGGTTTTCATTACTACCGCTTTTGACGACGAACTCATGAGAATATTCACCGTAAATCTTCACCTACGCATTGGTAATGAAGTGTAAGGATTGGACAGGAATACCTATGAAGAGAAGGTACGGCAAAGTTGCTCCCGATTCCAACGGGATGACAATTGTTGGCAGTCCATATGTTTGACTGTGTGGAGAAAATTGTGACCACAGCATAAAGGACGTGACCAGACTGCTTATTTCACGCAGCTCTGGTTCTCACGAGTGTTGTAAGCTCATAAACAACTAAGAAGTAATGATGACTGGAACAACGAAAGGTATAATGAAAGATATAATCGTTGAGCAACAACACTCGATTCATGACAACCATGCCGCCCTAAAGAAGCACGAGAACTGAGATACTGTCAGGTCGCTCCAGCTTGGACAGCAGCAGCAGTCGAGATGCTAGGATTGGGTTCGAACTAAGAAATTCCGGTCAGTAAGTTCGCGGCTTGAACACAGAGCTACCACAAACAGGCGGATGATACCCAAATTCAAAACAAACACCTCTCTAACAGACAGAAAGTGATGATGAATATTAACCACCGCTCCGATGCTTGCTTTGCCTTCCATTAAGCGAGGTAGCTCAGGACAATTAAGTTGTTCTCAGAGTTTTTCATCCGTTGAAGCAGATAAAAGGGGTTGAAATAGGTTTTTGGGTCGACTTCCCCTGTGATGATTACACTGATCAATAGTTTTCTTCGTCCCGTGTTAAGAATAAGCTGGAACAGAGTTCGACGATTTTCGACTGAAGGTGTTTCCTCCATTTCTAAGATTTCCATAAGCTACCATCCGGTCAGTCTCAAGACAGAGCTCTCACTGAAACGCAATGTCGATCAAGCGAGATCAACTTTATTATAGCCAACATGCATGACACGGTCGTTGTGAGATTCAACCTGGATTGAGGTGGGGGGCGCATCTACTTTGAAACGCACACAATCTACACTGGGAATTCACGACACTCCGTGCTTCGCACCTTGGTAAATTTGGCCAACCGGGGTGTTTCGCGATTGAGAGTACGTCAGACAGCTCCCGTTGATAAAAAATTAATTCGGCGGCTGCTTCACACAGGTAGCGAAAGTCATACTAGTGAATGGCTTTTCCCTCAGTTGCGGACAGACGAGCTACATGATAGGGACGAACTAGAGCACGCGCTGTGTACGCACACATGTGTTCCAAATGCAGCGACAGCCTTGGACAAAAGATAATCGTTCGAAAAGGGATACATCAATGGTTGGAGACATTGTCAGACATGGCCCAGTCGCGCCCTCAATGGCGCTCGTGCATCCACGCTATTGCCTTCAATGCATAGCTTCTCTCCCAATCTCCTCAACTAGAAGTCCATTGACGCATCAATTTTATCAGCTGCCACCCCCAATGCGCAACTATTTAAACCACATCCCCTAATCATCAGTGAATGAAACTGTGGCGGCTATAACCACTGCGCGACAAGTACGCGGTTTTTACAGCTGACAATGATGATGGTGGTGATCCAATTGGCATGTGGTCGATCTGAGAGCTTGATTGGTCAAAGTTGAGATGGCAACAAGTAGGTGAAGCTACACACCATATCCTGGGCTCAGTGAAAAAAGCCGATGCTGAATTTTCGTCGTATATCATTAGTAGCCTCGAGACGATCTTATTGGAAGTCTCGCGGGATTGCAGACCGCCAAACCGAGCAAAAATGCACTGGAAAATTGCATTCTGGTCCGCTTTTCTTGAGGATTGGCTCTACAAAGATCTCGCAATGTGTGAGCCACAGTGGAGGTTATTGCTCTTGAGTTCAGTAGTAAACCTATGTCCACGAACTTTAAGAGTTAAATTATGTTCAGTCAAACCTGAGAGAGTTAAGATGTGCGACAAAATGAGATGGCTTTACGGGGATTTTCGCCCACAATTCGCATGAACGATATTCATCTCGGTGAACAGGGTTGCAGTATCTGGTCGAGACGCTTAGAACGCGCAATAATTTCGCTTACTAGACCTTCCTACTATCCAGCTGTTTGTGTTCGCAACTTTTCACTCCCCTTTACTACATTGCCCGTTCAATAACATGGATGCATTGATTACTGAATACTTAATCAGTAAATTAGTCACTCACCATGTTACTGATTATGGGGCCAGTCATGTGAGACTATGTCGCAACACAGGTTACGTGTAATTACTGTTCAACCTCGGCTTTGCATCACATTTCAGTTGCGTCTGATACACATCCAAGTGGGCAAAATCATGCGTTTTGTTGTTCGTTCGGCCGTAACACCATAGTGATTGCGACCGATATGGTCAACTCCAGTGGATGGGTGAAGGACTCGTTTGTTGAAAGGACAATCTAAAAAGCTCTAGTTGTCCCCGACCAACGAAGTGGAACCAACAACAAAAAGGAGACTGGGACTTTCATGCCGTGGAAACTGGCAACCTTGTGTTAACGCCATAAAACACAGTGGTAGTGCGATAAATTTGAACCGTTGCTCAACGTGAATTTGTGAACGAAGAAATCGTTCAATTTGAACGATAGGCAAGTTCATCTAGTCTTCCAAGCACTAACACACCGTCCTGTTGTAGGCAACCACATTCTTCCCAGCGTGCCCGCAAATGCGGAACTTTTCTTTGCGTGTCTGGAACAGTAATTTCATTCCTACATTAGATCAAAAAAATCTTACGATAATCCAGGTTCACAGTACCTGTAAACAGTGGTGTGGCAATGGGCTCAACTTCATGACAACGACAGGGACAAACCT